AATCCCTCCAATCAGAGCTGTGTGTGTTTGTCATGTGACTGAGGGGAATGATGGGAAATAATGTGTGATCTCTCCCAGCAGGTTGCTGTGTCTGTGTGAAGGTGTGGGCTCTGCTATGAATCAGTGTGAGGACCGAGAGGAGGGAGTCCCTCCCTCTAAAAGCACTCTGTGTGGAGAACATGACACAAGGACCAAAGCTCAGAGGTGAGATGAGGATCTCTAACTGTCCATGACTCTTCTCCATGTCACAAAGGCTTTGATTCTCCATTTGAAACAAAGACATTTATCTGAGCTAAAGTACGTAGTTGTTAGTATTCAAACAGGGCTGGACAATCTGATCTCAAATCAGTATCAGGAGAAACATTCAGCTTCATAATGAGAAATGTAACAGTAACATGTGTTTGAATCAAGTAAAGTAAGTAAGTAAGTACATTTTATTTATAAAGCACATTTAAACACAGTAAAAACTGACCAAAGTGCTGTACAGTGGATAACTAAAAAGACAAGTAATACAGAAAAACACATTGGACCAATAGTCAAATAATTCTATAAAACATGAATAGAAGAAAACATTCAATATCAGGGCACACAACACAGAAATACATAGCATGAACAGGAGTACAGGGTTAGGGAACAAGGAAAGCCAGGGAGTAAAAGTGGGTTTTTAGCCTGGATTAAAAGGCAGAAATGGAGGGGGCAGATCTAATATCCAGGGGGAGCTGGTTCTACAGAGTTGGAGCAGCAACTGCAAAAGCCGTATCATCCCTCTGTTTGAGCTGTGGGCCGGCCAAAAAAAAACCCTTTATTTGAGGATCTCAAGGACCTTTGAACAGAGTGGGGTTTAAAAGGTTAGGGATGTATATTGGGGCCAGCCCATTTAGTGCCTTAAAAACAAATAATAAAACTCTGAACTGAATCCTAAAATGAACTGGGAGCCAATGCAAGCAGGCCAGAATGGGGCTGTCAATCAGAGCAGATTTCCTTCCTCATGTTGCTCACTGCTGATGTTTGTCCTGATTCATTCCAGTCTGACCAGTTCCACATTCTGCTCTTCTGGACTGGACTGGGAGCTGATTGCTCGCTGGTTAGATGTTGTAGCTGCTCTCACTTTAATTATATGGAATTCAGACAGTGTGTTGAAGTGTGTGACATCAGTAAATTGTGTTCAGTAACACGTCCATAATGTCAGTAATTGAAGACATTGTTCTTATTGTCCAGCCCTGTATTCAAACATTTCAAATTATACATCATTTCACAAAGTCTTTGATTCAGTGACAATGTTTCTGAATATGTGAGCTTTAATGAATTTCTTTCTATCAGGATCCATCAGAGACCAGACTGTCCTGAACCTGAACCCAGCTGTGTGTCCAGAAATGTTTTTTTGATGGATCTTTATATATTAAAGATGGCCGCCCCTCTTTTGATCAAAGGTGAGGATTTCAAAAGTTGCAAAACCAGTTTTTAAAGTTTTTAAACTTTTTTATGGAGGGTGATGGTTTGTGTCAATTTACAACTGCCCAGTTTGACACTGAACAAATGTCACAGTTTAACTCACTGCTTGACCCCGTCTGTTCCTATTTTATCCTAATTGGACCGATATGGTCACTGCACTCCATCATTTCCCCACCTATACTGCACACTGCACTGAATACAGCTTTAAAATACACAGTGAAACATGTCTAAATCATACACTGACTTTATAGAAATCCTAACCAAGAACTCCCTGGGTACAAATACACTGTGTACAGTCGGTGTATTCAGTCACTGGTTCTGTCTCAGTGTGTTGTGGGTGCAGTGCAGAACTGATCCTGTTTTTCTATCAGGAGGAAAAAACCTGAACCCAGCTGTGTGTCCATGAAGAGTGACTGGTCTATGGGTCTTCCTATAGACTTCAAAGATAGCCGCTACTCTGTTGATCAAAGGTGAGGATTTCAAACTGATGGTAAAATAAAATGATGTGTTTTTATCAGACTCTCAGTTGTGAGATCTCCAGTTTTTAAACCTTTACTGACTCAGATGAAGTTCTCTGAGCACCAACACTCTTTTCCAGCAGCAGCTGCCTCACACTCACACAGTCAAACACATTCACACTGGGAGCTGCCCAGTACAACCAGTCTGATACAAGCAGACACTGAGCAGCTCCACTGGAGCAGCTGGAGGCTCTAGGTGCCTTGCTCCAGGGCACTTCAGCAGTGTACAGTGAGGGAGGGAGAGCTATATGGAGGGGTTGGTGAGAGCTGTTGGGACTGAACCAAACTGAGCTGTTGATTCTCAGTGGGATCAGCAGGACTAGTAAACCTTTACCACTACAGGGAGTCATCAGATTCACTGTTCACATCCAAATATCACTTCATGGACCTTTACCTTGTGTTTGTCTCTGTGTGGACAGACATAATGTGAGCTCATTCTTCATGATTCCTCCACAGAGTGGACCAGGAGAGCTCAGAGGTTCCCAGTGGTCAGTCTGCCCAGCAGCATCAAACACACCTGGACTCCATATTTATGGTCTGTACATGGACAACAACTACTTTTACATCTATTGTGTTCACAATAATCTCCATGCTGCACTTTTTAGACCAGTGGATTGTCAGTCTGTCCAACATGGATCTGATGTTTGCTTCCATGATTTGACTTTGATTGAGTCATTCATATAATATTCTGTTCCAGCTGCTGGAGGACAACATTGTCACTTTTGTGAAGAACGAGCTGAAGAAGATCCAGAAGGTTCTGAGTGTAGATTACCCAGAATGCTCAGAGAGTCAGAGGGAGGATGAGGAAGTGTTGGAAAGTGAGGATGAAGAACAGAGGAGGAGAAGCAGAGAGGCATTTCTGAAGATCACAGTGCACTTCCTGAGGAGAATGAAGCAGGAGGAGCTGGCTGACTGTCTGCAGAGCAGTAAGAGGATTTCTCTAAAGATTTAACTCGCTGGATAAATGAGACATTTACTGATGTCTCAACAGACGGACCAAATTATATTCACATACTCATTCTTTAAAGCCAAAATTGGTCACAACTCACAAATTAAAATGCATAACAATGCCATGATAATTCATTGTATTGAAAATTTCAAAAAGAATCATATTTTATTTAAATATACAGAGAGAGACCACTCCTTTTCTTCTGGCTGGTGTGTTGCCAACTTCTGTTTCACTAGTTTATAAATGTAAATGTTATGGCAATTTGTGATGTATTTTTTTAAAGGAAGGTTTCACACCGCCACCTGACTGCACAAGGGTTCACAGAAAACGTGTTTTAAATAGCAGCTGCCGCCAGGTGTGTGCCACCAGCAGTTTAACACAGAGCAAAATCTGTGTGCTTGGATGTGGGCAACAACCACTTCCCCTCATTGAAATGACTGGTGGCAATAAGTTAGCCCCATAACTTTTGGTCTCAGTGAGAAACAAAATAGATATTTTCTATCTGAGCTGAACATTTTTCTGCTTTAAGGGAATTAAATTGTCATATTTCTTTTATCAATCACTTAATGATCATATTTTCTGTGTCTTCATTAAGAACATCTTGTTGGAGTTTGTCAGCGTGAACTTAAATCTAACCTGAAGAAGAAGTTCCAGTGTGTGTTTGAGGGGATTGCTAAAGCAGGAAACCCAACCCTTCTGAACCAGATCTACACAGAGCTCTACATCACAGAGGGAGGGACTGCAGAGGTCAATGATGAACATGAGGTCAGACAGATTGAAGCAGCATTCAGGAAACCATACAGACCAGAAACAACAATCAGACATGAAGACATCTTTAAACCTGGAAGAGATGAACCAATCAGAACAGTGATGACAGAGGGAGTGGCTGGCATTGGGAAAACAGTCTTAACACAGAAGTTCACTCTGGACTGGGCTGAAGACAAAGCCAACCAGGACATACAGTTCACATTTCCATTCACTTTCAGAGAGCTGAATGTGCTGAAAGAGAAAAGGTACAGCTTGGTGGAACTTGTTCATCACTTCTTTACTGAAACCAAAGAAGCAGGAATCTGCAGGTTTGAAGAGTTCCAGGTTGTGTTCATCTTTGACGGTCTGGATGAGTGTCGACTTCCTCTGGACTTCCACAACACTGAGATCCTGACTGATGTTACAGAGTCCACCTCAGTGGATGTGCTGCTGACAAACCTCATCAGGGGGGAAACTGCTTCCCTCTGCTCGCCTCTGGATAACCACACGACCTGCAGCAGCCAATCAGATCCCTCCTGGGTGTGTTGACATGGTGACAGAGGTCAGAGGGTTCACTGACCCACAGAAGGAGGACTACTTCAGGAAGAGGTTCAGAGATGAGGAGCAGGCCAGCAGAATCATCTCCCACATCAAGACATCACAAAGTGTCCACATCATGTGCCACATCCCAGTCTTCTGCTGGATCACTGCTACAGTTCTGGAGGATGTGTTGAAGACCAGAGAGGGAGGAGAACTGCCCAAGACCCTGACTGAGATGTACATCCACTTCTTGGTGGTTCAGTCCAAAGTGAAGAACATCAAGTATGATGGAGGAGCTGAGACAGATCCACACTGGAGTCCAGATAACAGGAAGATGATTGAGTCTCTGGGAAAACTGGCTTTTGAGCAGCTGCAGAAAGGCAACCTGATCTTCTATGAATCAGACCTGACAGAGTGTGGCATCGATATCAGAGCAGCCTCAGTGTACTCAGGATTGTTCACACAGATCTTTAAAGAGGAGAGTGGACTGTACCAGGACAAGGTTTTCTGCTTCGTCCATCTGAGTGTTCAGGAGTTTCTGGCTGCTCTTCATGTCCATCTGACATTCATCAACTCTGGAGTCAGTCTGCTGGCAGAACAACAAACAACATCCTGGTTGTCTAAGGTCTTCAAAGACAAACCTAAACTAGAATATCTCCACCAGAGTGCTGTGGACAAGGCCTTAGAAGAGTCAACAAGGATACCTGGACTTGTTCCTCCGCTTCCTCCTGGGTCTTTCACTGCCGACCAATCAGACTCTCCTACAAGGTCTGCTGACACAGACAGGAAGTAGCTCAAAGACCAATCAGCAGACAGTCCAGTACATCAAGAAGAAGATCAGTAAGAATCTCTCTGCAGAGAGAAGCATCAATCTGTTCCACTGTCTGAATGAACTGAATGATCGTTCTCTAGTGGATCAGATCCAACAGTCCCTGAGTTCAGGACGTCTCTCCACAGATAAACTGTCTCCTGCTCAGTGGTCAGCTCTGGTCTTCATCTTACTGTCATCAGAAAAAGATCTGGACATGTTTGACCTGAAGAAATACTCTGCTTCAGAGGAGGCTCTCCTGAGGCTGCTGCCAGTGGTCAAAGCCTCCAACAAAGCTCTGTAAGTACAGACAGAGTTGGATTTCTGTATGATCACTTAAATATTCTGCTATCTTTTTGACTTAGAGAGATTATAAAGACATTATATATCACCAACATTGGGAACTCCTCACCAGTGTTTGGCAAGTTACTTTTAAAAAGTAATTAGCTACTTCTTCCAAAAAGTAACTAAATTACTTACCAGTTACAAATTATAAAAGTAACTAGTTACTTCAAGAAATAATGTTTACTTTCAAACAAGTTTTAAATGCTCAAATGTGACCCCCTCTTTAACGGAACTCAAAATACATGTTCAATTATTTATGATAAATCTGAATATTATAATGAAATGGACACTTAATACAATACATCATTAACAGAAACAATGTACACAAATCTAAACTATTTTAATGTTGCTGACAAAGTGAGACTAGCCTCCAATCAAATGCCATGTATGTAGATATTATGTTAATATAGTGGATCGATACAAATAACACAATAGATGTTTTGGAACTTTGATATTTATTGGCCCTCAACAGGCCACAACTGGGCAAAATTAAATTATGCTTGTTAAGCACTATACCAAAAATAAATAACAAATAGCCTATTATTTGGGCTCGCCATACCTTTCTCTCGTTGACTGACTCGCTTGTGTTGTTCGTTTTGTGTCCGACTATGCGTGCTTCAAACACCCGCCCAACTCTACCTCTGATTGGTTTACCATGAAATTTTACTCAACCTCAGCCAATCGTCAGCATTTATGCGCTTGTCTCATTCACTGCCCACTAACTAAAGAAGAACAGTAAAAAAAAAAAGTCTTTGCCTCTCAGCTCAGAGATCTAGTTGGTCTGATGAAAGAAACAGCTTATGGTAAGGCGCCGCCTTTTTGTAGTAACGGTAACGGCGTTATTAAGATGGGAAGAGTAATCAATTAGATTACTCGTTACTGAAAAATAACGCCGTTATTCCCATCACTGCTCCTCACTCGCTGATATCATTTTTACAGAACTAATTTAAAGTGTTTTTGGTTTTGGCTGAGTGATAAAGTGCTGGACACAAATGTTATTTTTCTTATTGTTGATCATTGTCTCTACAGACTGAGTGACTGTAACCTCTCAGAGAGAAGCTGTGAAGCTCTGTCCTCAGTTCTCAGCTCCCAGTCCTCTAGTCTGAGAGAGCTGGACCTGAGTGACAACAACCTGCAGGATTCAGGACTGAAGCTGCTTTCTGTTGGACTGAAGAGTCCACACTGTAAACTGGAAACTCTCAGGTCAGAATTTGTCAACCTGTTCAACTGATAACCACTTTAAACCTGAATTATGTTGATGGATACAATTGTAATCTTCCTAATCATTCTTTTGTTTATTTAGTTTGAGTCTCTTTCCTTGAACATGTTTATCATGTAATGTGTTGTTCTGTGTGTTTGCAGGCTGTCAGGCTGTCTGATCACAGAGGAAGGTTGTGCTTCTCTGGTCTCAGCTCTGAGCTCCAACCCCTCCCATCTGAGAGAGCTGGACCTGAGCTACAATCATCCAGGAGACTCAGCAACAAAGCTGTCTGCTGGACTGGAGGATCCACACTGGAGACTGGACACTCTCAGGTATGAGGCGGATCAATACAGTAGTAGTAGTCAGGTGACAGAGGAAAGGTGATGACATTTCTGTTTTTCTGGACCGATGTCTTGTTTCGACATTGGAAAATAGGACAGTGGTTTATCCTGATGGGTTGGTGAGCATCATGGTGGGTTGATATTTGTCAATGTTGTCACGCTGCAGCTTTGTGGGCTCATATCATAAATAGTTTGGGATTCTTTGATGGGTGTCATCTGCCATCAGCGTGTGTTACCTTTTAGTTCAGAAAAACTAAAGGCGTCACCTAAACTACAATTCAGTTCAGTTCAGTTTTATTTGTATTTTACTTGTCACCAATTCATGACAGAAGTTATCTCAGGACAGATTTCAAATAGAGCAAGGTCTAGACCGAACTCCTTATAACATTATTGACAGAGACCCAACAGTTCCCACCATGAGCAAGACCTTGGAGACATCGGCAAGGAAAAACTTCCTTTTCCGCCCTGAAGAGAGACAGAGAGACAGACAGAAAAGACAGACAGGGAGGATTGATGGTAGAGAGAGGTCAGAGACAAAGGTGCACAGCAACAACTATACTTATAGAAATGACTGATGACGATGATTAACCTGAAGAGGATGATGACAACAACAACAACAACGATGCGCAATAATAATAGTAACTATAATGATGATTATAATGATAATAATAAGGGATGGTTCAGGCGGGACTCACCTGATCTCAGCCCAATAACTATAAGCTTTTAATCAAGAGAGGATTATGACGTTCCAAACCTACTCTGATGAATGTGGAGAGGAGTGTCTGCCTCCCGAACCACAACTGGCTGCTAAATCCAAAGGAGAGGAGCTTGGTAACTTGAAGGCTCTGGCTCCTGTTCTTTATTTATCAAGAGACTATAGGAACCACAAGTAGCTAGGCTAACATACTCTTCATGGCACAGCCAGGTCTCAGTAAGACAGTAAATCAGTATCATAATCTGATATTAATTAATTGACTAGAACAGCTTTAGAGGACAGAGACCTGATCACACGGCCAGTTTGAGCTCTAATCTGTTCACAGTGTGAACTAGTTAGCAAAGCACAGACTCTTAAAGTGACAGTACAGGTATTAACACTTTAGTTCAAATATACTGTTCAAATGTACAAAACATGTTATGAACTTCATCAAACTCAGATTCTTGGATATTTGTCAGGACTTTGTTTCAATCAAAGAAAATAAAGATATACTTTCAACCTGGTTACATTAGACACAACTACTTTATAAACTGAACCCCAAGTGGACAAAGAAATCAGTTGATGCAGGTTTAATCATTTCATTTACTGACTGACTGGTAGAGGAAACTGAGTCTGAACTTTATGATGATCATCAATATAATACTGATAATAATAATATATCATCAATAAGTGAACATAATGAGCTGTAGCCATCGGCCAATCAGAAGAAGCTCCAGTGAACTGAAAGACTATCAGCTGATTAATAATAAGTGCTCCATGTGAAGATGTAAGTCCATTTGTAGAGAATAACCTCTGTGTATGAGAGCGATGTAATGTCCATGTTTCCATGCTGCTCTGACCCCCCTCCTCCTTTCAGGGTGGAGCCTGCTGGAGTCCGATGGTTGAGACCAGGTCTGAGGAAGTGTAAGTGTGAAAACAAAGCAGCACACATTCAACCATCTTCACACTGTGACATCACTCATTCACAGCTCTGATGTCATCATCAAAGTGTCAATCAATGATCAGATGATAGATCAATAACTGCAGCTGTATTGTGTCTTGTTCTCTCCATCAGATTCCTGTGAACTCACAGTCGACACAAACACAGTGAACAGAAACATCAAACTGTCTGACAACAACAGGAAGATGACATCAGTGGAAGAGAATCAGTCATATCCTGATCATCCAGACAGATTTGACTTCTGTCCTCAGCTGCTGTGTAGAAATGGTCTGACTGGTCGCTGTTACTGGGAGGTCGAGTGGAGAGGAAGAGTTTCTATATCAGTGAGTTACAGAGGAATCAGGAGGAGAGGAAACAGTGAAGACTGTGTGTTTGGATACAATGATCAGTCCTGGAGTCTGTTCTGCTCTTATGATGGTTACTCTGTCTGTCACAATGACAGACAAACATCCATCTCCTCCCTCCTCCTCCTCCTCCTCTGGTAGAGTAGCAGTGTATGTGGACTGTCCTGCTAGCACTCTGTCCTTCTACACAGTCTCCTCTGACACACTGATCCACCTCCACACCTTCAACACCACATTCACTGAACCTCTTTATCCTGGGTTCAGGTTCTGGTCTGGGTTCAGGTTCTGGTCTGGGTTCAGGTTCTGGCCTTACAGCTTTGGTTCCTCAGTGTCTCTGTGTCCTCTGTAGGAGGGAGAGAGAAACTTTCTCTCTGCTGACCAGATAGTTCAGTCTGTACAGGATCACACACAGCTGATGTTAGTTAGTACCAACCTGATGTGTTTACTGTAATAGAGGAGGAAGAGGAGGCTGAAGGAAGAGAAGAGCAAAGGATGCTGGGATGAAGGGATCATGTGTGAGGGTAATGTGCAGCCTGCAGACGTACAGATGAAAGAAATGATAGAAAGAATTGATCTTCTTCTATAACTCGAGAAAAATGAACATTTTTAGGATCAAATGTAGCTGCTTGTTTTTCAAATCTTCTTCTTTTTGAAAGCACAGTTAGAGGGAAAGTGTTTTTATGACTCAAATATTAAAGTGTGAACAAATATTCAACTTTGAGTCTAAAACTGAACTTTGTTGCCTTAAAACTTTTGTTTCTGTGAAGAAACAATGTGTTCAGATGTCAAACAAGAGTCTTTCAGGATCAAATTCAGCATCTGTGTAAAAATAGTTCCAAGGTGTAAAGAGTGGCTTTGATTGGAACTAAATTCATCATCACTAACAGGAAATATTCTGTTTGTCTGTTTGTTTGTTTGTTAACTTTTTGTTTTGTATTCCTGTTTCTCAGACTTGCACAATAAAAAAATAAACAATAAAAACATATAAAGGTGGTAACATAAGAGTATATTCGCTCCCCTTCCTCAGTGTAGGGGTTACACTACTTTTTCATTATTATTAGTAATTAATAACTGGGATTAATAATACACTCGTAAATGGGGCACCACCTCCGTTGTTTAGCCACTGGAATAACCCGGAGGAAATTATTCCACAGATCTAATCAAATCAATTTATCAAATTTCAAAATCTATATTTAATCTCAATATTTCTGAAGTAGTGATTTCTTTTACACGATTCATCAATTTCCCCGCATCAAATCAAACCTGCACAGACAAGGACATACGGTTATATATGTTTATTAACTAAATTAATTTAGAGTAAATAACATGAAATGATAATGTAAACAAATAACAACAAACAACAGAATATGTGGTCTGTAAATTAATTATTGATATTGGGTGATTCAGGAGCGATGGTGGATTTTGCGATACAGCAGTAACCCTAGAATATTACGGGAGTAAAATTTAAAACTCCAAGGCCCTAATCGAAAATTCTTCTAAACTCAAACTATGGGAATCTAAGCTCACAGACAGACACCAACTCTTGGGAAGTGTGTGGGACCCCGGCAGGGTATGTGGGTTTCAGCCTACTTTGTTGTAGAGATGGAGGGACTTCAGGATCTTTCTCCTCCGGCTGGTACTGCTCGGCTGCTGTTCAGAATCACAGGTCCAAGAACGTGTCGTCACCGATACCAGTGGCAATAAGCGCTCCAGTCCAAGGCCCAGCGCGGCGCTTTGAGTGCGTTGGAGGCAGGTAGTCTGGAGGATAATGTCTTTGTCCGGCTGAAACGTTTATACGTCTCCTTGAGCGATCAACCACTGCGACGTCCTTCTGGCTTGTGATCAATGTCTTAAGAAAAGTTCCTCAGAGTGGTTGGTCTTTGGCTTTGATTATGAACTAATCCAACTTCTGGTCTAAAACAACTGTAGGACGAAACGATGGCCTAGAATTAAACTAAATTCACTTTCTGTGAATCAGGAGACAATACTTGACAAGATATATAAACTAAAACAAACTTATAAAAGAATTAACTGTGTTCGTGTCTTGAGCCTTCAAAATAAAAGTACTAAAAAGTACTTCAGCACCGCTAATTATTACGTGAGGAAAAATTCAACACGTGTCTCAAACGAAGTAAAATAACGTACGAAATCAAAGTAGAACGAAAGTAAATAACGAATGGATCCAACGTAGATTTAAGAAGAGAGTTTGGAAGTGTAAAAGTAAGAGAGTTAAGTTATATCGGAGTCTATATTATATATGTTTTAGTTTGGAGGCGTATCCGGAAAGGCTAATCGCGTCACTTCCTCTAGAGATATTTCGATATTCGTAACTTTATTAACTCACTTCTATCGTGTTTTAAAGTTTCGAAATCCTAATTCACCATCCACAGAACCCACCATGACTTAATACATAGTTTACATGTTTTAACATAACATAATCGAAATTACTTTATGTAAAAATAAAAGCAGACCTAGTTAAAAAGTCACAAACATGCATATGAAACAACACTAATGGATTGTACATATTTCATATAGTGTTAGCTTAATTCTTGTTATAAAATTGTGTGTCAGGCATTTACCATTTGGAATAATACACAACTATAAAACAAAATCTGTTTTGAAGATACCTTACACTATACCATTACCAAAAGGTGGCGCTGTGGCTCCATCACACATTCAGAGCATTTTACACATGATTTTGTAACTTAGTCCAATCTGAAGACAGAAACATCAGACAAACATTACATTTGCGTCCTTCTCATGCTGGATGGCAATCTGTTAATTAGGAGGAGATGAAATTTTACCATAATACTCCAACAGAACTAAATCTATATCCGTGCAACTGCTGTTACTGCTTCCTAGATTGGAATGTCCACTATCAAAAGAAAACATCGTAATTTACACTTTAGAGGAAGGGGTGTCAGAATACCAGATGTGGATTCCAGAGGAGTTTCTCTCTGGAGGTGGACCTGTCAGACTAAAAGAGATGTAAACACATTTCAGGGATATCTAACCCTGACTTACAATCAAAAAGGCACTTAATTATCACACACGATCCACTTTAGGTGTA